GTGAGAACAATTAATCCGTGGAACAACCTGCCTCCAGAAGTTGTGAATGCTCCAACGTTGGAACTTTTTAAGAAGAAATTGGGCAACCATTTGTCTGAAATGGCATAGTAGGGTCTCCTGCTTGAGCAGACTAGACATATCCAATTCCTGCAACTGGTCTTCAAATGTTTTAGCCCTCAACCCCCAATCATCTTAATTATCTTCTCTGTACTCTTTCAAGAGTCTCCATATCTTTTTTATATCTAATAGTTTTAATAGTTCCTCCTTGATTTGCATTTAAGAAAAAAGCTAATTAACTAAAATAGTTTTTTTAAAAAAAATATATCGGACAATCAACATAGCCTTCGTTTTCTTTCCACTCTCCTTGCTTATGACTCATCAGGATCTTGAAAGTGAAACCAAATCTGGTTTTTAGGAGAAATCTCTGGTTTTCAAGGAAAAGGAAGGGATCTGACTGCCAGATAAAAAAAAGGGGAAGCCCAATATATTCTCTGAAAGACATAGGTGAATTCTGGTTGTTATTTCTTGTAAAAACCCAGCAATATTTTGAAAGGAATTCAATTTTCTTGGTAGTGGGTTACAGGAAGTCCTTGACTTTCAACCCTTCATTTAGTGACCGTTTGAAGTTACAACAGCACTGAAAAAAGTGATTTCCAACTGTGGGAAGTCAGCCCCCCAGAGAAGGAAATATTAAAAGGGCAGAAAAGGATCTTAAAGAGGCAAAAATGCATGCCCAGTTTTCTTAATAGCCCCAAGTCTCCCTCCCCCAAACAGAAACCAGCTCTGTAGAAATGCAGATGTAAACCATTCAGGAAGGTTGAAGCTAGAAGATTAAGAAGACAAAGACACCTAAAATCTACATACCCCACCCAAACTCTAAGACAGGACATAATAAGATTAACACACAGATACCAAAGGGCACACTCGGACTCAGGTCAAAGTTTATGCCACAGGAACAACTCCAAACAAAAGGCTCCAGAGGGTATAAAAACCCACTCCCTACATGTACCCCCTCTTTTCTTCCAGAGCCATCTTCCTGTCTGGCTCTCCTCTTCAATAAATTGCAACCTTCTTCCTAAAGCAGTCGCCATGTTGTTTATTCCCAGCTTGGACTGAACCATGATGAAGACTTTTTCTTCAACACAACCGTGTTTCACACTTAAGACCGGTGCAGCATTCCCACAGGTGGGCAAAATTTAGCCGCTTGGCAACTGGACCCTATTTATGACGGTTGCAGCCTCCTGGGGTCACGTAATCATCTATTGCAACAAGCAAAGTCAATAGGGAAGCCAGATTCACTTAATGGCCTTGGTAGTAACAACTGCAGTGATTCAGTTAACAACTGTGGCAAAAAAGTCATAAAATGGGGCAAATGACTTAACAACTCTTTCGCTTAGCAACAGAAATTTTGGGCTCAATTATGGTTGTAAGTTGAGGACTATTCTGTGTAGCGCTTCGTTGTGAGACTCTCGTGACACCCCTCCCATATTCCTTTCCCATCAGTCTTTCCCATTGGCAGGGTCACTGAGGGCATTACTTCTTTAAGTTGCTGATTCCAACCTTGAATCATGTAGATGACCATTCAGGCAAGCAGGATCAGTAGGATCAAGCAGGGTTGCCCCAGAGAAGAGGGAGTCAAGCTATTCTCCAAAGCACCTGAAGGCAGGACGAGAAGCAACGGATGGAAACTAGTCAGGGAGAGAACCAATCTAGAACTAAGGAGAAATTTCCTTAGTTCAGTGGAACCACCTGCCTCCAGGAGTTGTGAATGCTCCAACACTGGAAGTTTTTAAGAAGAGACTGGACAGCCATTTGTTTGAAATGGTGTAGGGTTTCCTGCCTGAGCAGGGGGTTGCACTAGTCCTAGTGGATAATCACTTAAGTATGAGCCAGCCATGTGCTGCAGCTGCCAAAAAACCCAACACAGTTCTAGGCTGCATTAACAGAGGGATAGAATCAAGATCACATGAAGTATTAATACCACTTCACAATGCCTTGGTAAGGCCACACTTGGAATACGGCATTCAGTTCTGGTCACCACGATATAAAAAAGATGTTGAGACTCTAGAAAGAGTACAGAGAAGAACAACAAAGATGATCAGGGGACTGGAGGCTAAAACATATAAGGGACGGTTGCTGGAATTGGGTATGTCTAGTTTAATGAAGAGAAGGACGAGGGGTGACATGATAGCAGGGTTCCAATATCTCAGGGGCTGCCCCAAAGAAGAGGGAGTCAAGCTATTCTCCAAAGCGCCTGAAGGCAGGACAAGAAGCAACGGATGGAAACTAATCAAGGAGAGAAGCAACCTAGAACTAAGGAGAAACTTCCTGACAGTTAGAACAATCAATCAGAGGAACAACCTGTCTCCAGAAGCGGTGAATGCTCCAACACTGGAAGTTTTTAAGAAGAGACTGGACAGCCATTTGTCTGAAATGGTATAGGGTTTGCTGCCTGCGCAGGGGGTTGGACTAGAATGATGACCTCCAAGTTCCCTTCCAACATTATTATTATTATTATTATTATTATTGTTATTATTATTATTATTATTATTATTATTATTATTATTATTATTATTATTATCATCATCATCATCATCATCATCATCATCATCATCATCATTATTATCATTATTATCATTATTATTATTATCATTCGAATTTCACCCACAAAATTATTTCTCAGAATATATTAGGGTGCAGCTTTCCTTAACGTCCAGGAATTGTGAATTTATTTCATCGATAACAAAGGAGCTGGAGGAGTTTATAAACAGCTTCTGAATCTTGATCAGTTTGGGAAGCCACCATTACAGGTAGTCCTCAACTTATAACCACAGTTAGGACCAGAATTTCCATTACTAAGCAAAGGTGGTGGTTAAGTAAATTGCGTCTGAATTTGTGAACTTTTTTGCTACGGTTGTTAAGTGAATCATTTGGTCGTTAAAGGAATCTGGCTTCCCTCACTCACTTTATTTCTTGAAAGCTGGCTGGGGAGGTGACAAAAGGTGATCACATGACCCTGGGATGCTGCAACCATCCTAAATACATGCCAGTTGCTAGGCACCTGAGTTTTGATCACGCGATCATGGAGATGCTGTGACTTTCATAACTGTGAGGATCCACTATAAGTCACTTTTTCAGTGCCGTTGTAATTTAGAGCAGTCACTCAGCAAATGGCTGTAAGTCAAGGACTACGTATACTACATTCCAAAAATGGCCTTTGGTGAAGAGATGTGAAAGATTTCAGATATAAAAGTGCCTTCGAATTTTGCTATGGAAGGTCCATTTTCATGTCATGACACGGCTGTGCAAACTGTGGCTTTTTTTACACATACGTGTAGTTGGGGCATGTAACAGCATCACCTTCAAACAAGCAAAGTCAACGGGGAAGCCAAATCCACTTAACAACTGGGTTACTAACTTAAACAATTGCAATGATTCATTTAACAACTGTGGCAAGAAAAGTCATAAAATGCGGCAACCCTCACTTAACGAACGTCTTATTTAGCAACATAAATTTTGGGCTCAATTGTGGCCGTAAGTTGAGGACTACCTGTACAATGTTTAATTTTAAGGCTATGTCTGCTGGATGGAGGATGTCTAATAATCCTATTTAGAACTGAATTTTTCTTGTCCCGGCTAGGAATTTCTGAATTTTTAATCCCCAAAGCTTTGATGGATATCCAGTAAGGAGAAACTTCCCTCAGAAGGCAGAGATGACAAATGAACAAAACGGATATTTATTATTTTTTTCTTTAATTCGTTTCAGATTGAAGATACAAAACGGGACCCCAGAGATTGAGAGCTAATTTAATCATGCACAGCTCCCAAAAGCTTTGTTTTCTTTTAGCATGAGCCAAAATATTAGCAATCCTCTGGCTCGGTGCAAATTACATTTTTGTCTTCTATTATTTATATTTTTTTTATTTTTCCTAGCCTGCGATTCTTAAAGCCACTCAGTGCCAAATCCAGCGTCAAACGAGAAACATTCTCAGTCTGGCTTCTGAGAAAGGCAGGAAGCTCCATTTCCCAGTCTTTGATCATCCTTTTAGCTGAGGGCATGAAGGTCAAAAATGTCAAGATGGCAGCTTTGACCACTTCGTGGCCGCCATCTTGATTTTTTCAAACCCTCTTGCAGACGCCTCAGCTGTCAGACGACATAATTTTCCAACAAAAACATAGCGCAAGTAAAATACAAATACACATTTAAAATCATGTCAGATTTGAGCATGAGACTTTATATTGGTTGAAAAATTACAAGCATTTTAAATTGAACAAGATCAGATACAAATCTGGATGCTACATTTCTACAATGGCAAAGCTTTGTTTGTGTGAGGAGTGTGTGTTGTGTAAGTCGGCCTGTTTGGTAAATTTATTATTAGAGTATGTGGGAACCCAGGATTTGGGTTTATTAAGTGATCAGTTGAAACGGACTTTGAGGACACACTGTGTGATTAAAGGTCAGACAGAATAGGAGAAGGAGTTTTATTGAAGTGTTGAAGAAATATTCTCTTTAACTATTGTAGACTGTAAATATAAGTGCCCACAGAAGACTCAGTGGGCAGTATGGTGTGTTATGGTGTCATAAATTCCATTCTGTGATTTATGTACTTGCACACAAAATTGCACTGCTACTAAAAATGATGAAGCTTGGATTGCAACGTTACAGCACACACAGTTCATGATTAGGAACAGAAACCCGTAATGGTATAACAAACATAAAATATAGGTACTCCTTGACTTACAACCATTCATTTAGTGACTGTTTGAAGTTACAACGGCATTGAAAAAAGTGACTTATGACTATTTTTCACACTTAGAACCGTTGTAGCATCCCCAAGGTCACATGATCAAAACTCGGACTCTTGGCAACTGACTCCTATTTACGACGGTTGCAGTGTCCCGGGGTCATGTGATCACCAAGCAGAGTCAATGGGGGAAGCCAGATTCACTTAATGACATGTTACTAACTCAACAATTGCAGCGATTCACTTAAGAACAGCGGCAAGAAAAGCCACAAAACGGAGCAAAACTCACTTTTAACCATTTTGCTTTGCAACAAAAACATTGGGCTCAGGGTGTGGTTATAAGTCATGGACTACCTGTATTGGTGTAACCAGCATAAAATATTCAGGAATGAAGGATGCCACTATCACATTGTCCTGGCTTGTTTGATTTGGAAGACTGAAGATCTTCCATGGTGAGATATGTCAAAATCAGGACAAAATCACAGACTTTTTGCCCCATTACATTGGTTCTTATGCTTGTTTGAATAAAATTCCTACAGGACGTCCTTGAAGTTACTTCTAAAACCCAGCAGCTTGATAAAAATAACTGCTGTTGCATCAGTGGCTCCCAACTTGGGTGTCATAGTTCATGAGTCCTTCAGAAGCTGATTACATGTCTGTAGGAAGTGAAGCATTTGTGAAGCAGCTTCTCTAAAACAGCTTGATCTTCCTTATTTGACATTCCTTTTCTTCATAATTGCCTATAAAGAAAGCATAGAAAGTAGGACACTTGGTTAGTTTTCCCAGTCTACAAAGGATTGCCTTGAAAGTTAATGGTCTTCTTCTGATCCTTTGACTCCATGTTCTAACTAACAGAATAACAGAATAGTAGAGCTGGAAGGGACCTTGGAGGTCTTCTAGTCCAACCCCTTGCTCAAGCAGAAGACCCTGTACCATTTCAGACAAGTGGCTGACCAGTCTCTTCTAAAAAACCTCCAGTGTTGGAGCACCCACAATTGTTCTCAGTGTCAGAAAATTTCTCCTTAGTTCTAGGTTGCTTCTCTCCTTGATTAGTTTCCATCTGTTGCTTCTTGTCCTGCCTTCAGGTGCTTTGGAGAATAGCTTGACTGCCTCTTCTTTGTGGCAACTCCTGAGATACTGGAACACTGCTATCATGTCACCCCTGGTCCTTCTTTTCATTAAACTAGACATACCCAATTGCTGCAACCGTTCTTCATATGTTGATAGCGTAAGTATATATAGATACAAAGCAGGAAATGTCTGACGATGAGTCTCAAAGATGCTTTCTCAAAAGACAACTGGACTGTTTTTTCCTTGAGGAAAAAGAAGACATTTTTCTTCTCATCCAGGAAGCTTCATCAGTTCTGGTTGGATGGTAGAGGATGGAAAGGTAGGTTCTGACAGGATTATGGTGGAGGGATGGAAGGAATATATTTCTTTGCAGTCATCTGGTCTTCATCATCTGATGAAGCTTCTTGGGATGAGAAGCGAAACTTCTTTTTCCGCAAGGAAAAAAATAAAGTCCAGTTGCCTTTTGAAAAAGCACCTTTGAGACAACTCTGACTTGGATGATTGAGAACCTCCATAGACATCTGTCAATGAGATAGAATTGGTAAGGTTTCAAGGAACCGCAATGAGTAATTTTGTACTAAATATGAGAAATGTGATCAGCCAAGTGTGAATGCTAGCCTTGTGAAAGAAGTCGCAGAGAGAATGACATGCGGTAAATAACAAATAAAGTTTTTTGCATAAATATCTGAGCCAACTTTTACTCAGGATGCTTGATTCCCAAGCTTGCACAGAAATAGACAGTTGGAAAAAGATTTTGATTTATTGGTCCTCGCAAAAACACAAATGCATCGAAAGTTCCATCAAAATGATCTGGGCTTACCTCTTTAATTGTCCTGCCTTGCTCCCCGTTCAGGTTCAGACAGCGTCTCCGGCTGTTTTTAAGGGTCACCCTGCATATTATGCAAATTAGAGACCAAATTAGACAAAGGATTGTTTGATGTTATTAACATTCTTCATTAATTATCAATGCAACTGTGGTGAAGCCTATCCACCTGCCTTCCCACCTGTCAGCTGTAAACTCAACATACCCACTCCAGTTGACCTCAAACAAGGAAGACCTCAAGCATAAGTGGGAAAACCATAATGTGAGATTTTCATATCCCTCTGAGGAGAAATTCTGGAATTTTTAAAAATCCAAGCTAGACATCTGGCTACTCAGACAGGTAAAAAGGTGCGAAGATCATCTTATTCCAATCCTGATTTCAGGATGTGGTCGATAAAAAACTGAAAAATCCCAGGGGATCCAAACCGGAGTCTTTGGAAGGACTTTTTCTAATTAAGATATAGATGTGTGTTTCATACCACGAATTTACAGTTAGACATTTGGTTCTTTGAAATAAACACTTTCTTATTTCTGAGGTTTATTGTTGTCTGTGCCAGTTTAATTGTATGAATTAATTATTTTTATGGTTTGCTTATACTGTGCATTGTGTGGATTGAACAAAATAAATGAATTTATCTTTTTTTTCTTTTCTTTAGGGCATCTGTTTTAAGCCACACCTAGGGTCTTGAAGTATGATCTGGTCCTACATGGTTTTCAGCTATATTACCATTTGACTGTGTGACCGTTGAAAGCAACGAAAGGAATGTCGTTGCGTTCAAGTTTTGCTTTGTTTTTAAACCAGATACTTTGACGTATCCCTTTATTTGTCTGTCAGTGGATAGGGGACTGATTCTCTTTGATGCATGGCTCATGCTGCAGATTTAGGAGGCAAGTGTTGTAGAAATGTTGTTTGCCAGCAAGAGCATTGAAGGGGTGGGGGCGTGGGGGTGAGGATAGGTTCCTATCTGTTTCACAGACTGCTTGTTAAGTGGGAGGGTGGCAAGTAGGTTCTCCTGCTTGAGCAGTGGGGTTAGACTAGAAGACCTCCAAGGTCCCTTCCTATTCTATTCTATTCTATTCTATTCTAAAAACATCCCGTTGGGAGAAAGGGAGTGACGAACTGCTAATAATCTATGCAGGGCAGAAAAATGGGGCTAAGGGTTATAAATCTCAGACAATTCTGAGATCACCCACCTTCCACCCCACTCAACAGCCCTGAGGCTGTACCATCTGGGGACAGAAAAAGGCACTCTGCTGTATGCATAGGACTACTTTTGAAGAAAGACAGAGAGAAAGGGAGAGAAAGGGAGACAGAGACAGAGAAACACGGAGAGAATCATGAGGGGTCTTTGGTGCTCTCTCAGCTGGCTTGTTTTCTTGCAAACGTTTCATGACCCAAACTAGGTAACATCATCAGTGCTAGTTCTACTCGAGTGCTAGAGAGAATCACGTATACATTTATAGATATGTACAAACAACGGCATCAAAGTTTGCTTTAACATGGCGATATTGAATATTGAAAATAGACTTAAGTTCAGGTCCCACGGCTTTGTTGCTTTTTCAAGGTACATGAACACACATAGGTGGAATTTTTAAAAGGATAAAAAAATACATTTTTTAAAAAAAGAAAAAAAAAGGAAAAGAAAGGAAAGAAAGAAATACCTGAAAAAAATGCAAATGAGGAAAGAAAACGGAAAGGGAAAAGGAAGGTTATGTAGGTGGTTTCCAACTTTTTTTAACAGCAGTTACATTTATAGTTTAGCCTCTCTCTCAAAGGTTACCACATAGCTTCCTTCTTTCCATAGTCTACACCAGGGGTAGGCAACCTTGGCTCTTTTATGACTGGTGGACTTCAACTCCCAGAATTCCTGAGCCAGCCATGCAGAGGGGAATGGGAGAGGTTTCTAAGCTGAGCCACGCTGGTTCAGGAATTCTGGGAGTTGAAGTCCACGAGTCATAAAAGAGCCCCAAGGTTGCCGACCCCTGGCTACACCGTCTAATCATCAAACCCCTAAATTACAAGTTAATTTCCCCCACTTTTTTCAGCAAAAAAGGCCATAAGGGGTTTCCAGTCACTAATAAAACCAATTAAATGAGCCGCTCTCTCTTTTTCCTGACTGTAAGTCAGCGTGGAAAGCATTTACTTCCATACATTTCAATCAGTTTAAGCCACATCTAAGTCAAAGGGGAAGCCCGGTTCACTTTACAACCTGGTTACTAACTGAACAGTGGCAATGATTCACTTAACAGCTGTGGCAAGAATGTCATAAAAGGGACATTAATGAGCCCAGACAACACATTGTTTATTAAGTGTTTGGTTGTAAAACTAGAACTGTCTCGCTTAGCAATGGAAATTTGGAGTCAGTTGTCAACAACTACCTATAGAACAGGGGTCTTCAAACTTGGCCCCTTTAAGGCTTGTGGACTTCAACTCCCAGAATTCCTCAGCCAGCCCTCAGGGCTGGCTGAGGAATTCTGGGAGTTGAAGTCCACAAGCCTTAAAGGGGCCAAGTTTGAAGACCCCTGCTATAGAGCAATTCAATAGCTTCAACAGGAGAACACAGCAGGACTTACAGCAATTCCTCTCGGCCACAACTGCCACTTGATTGGTGGTACTCCACTGTGGCCACCCGGTCCATCTTCACAGACAGCATTCCTGGTCTTTTGCACAAACAGCGCTCACGGCTGGAGGTAGGCAATCCTGCAAGGAGTTATTTAGAGAAGGTGACTCCTTCACCCATCAGTCACAATTGTCTAAAGCAGTGTTTGTCAACCCAGTAACTTTAAGATGATTAGGGGACTGGAGGCTAACACATACAAAGAATGGTTGCTGGAATTGGGTATGTCTAGTTTAATGAAGAAAAGGACTGGGGTGACAGGATAGCAGCGTTCCAGTATCTCAGGGGTTGCCACAAAGAAGAGGGAGTCAAGCTACTCTCCGAAGCGCCTGAAGGCAGGATAAGAAACGGTGGATGGAAACTAATCAAGGAGAGAAGCAACCTAGAACTAAGGAGAAACTTCCTGACAGTTAGAACAATTAACCAGTGGAACAACCTGCTTCCAGAAGCTGTGAATGCTCCAACACTGAAAGTTTTTAAGAAGAGACTGGACAGCTATTTGTCTGAAATGGTATAGGGTTTCCTGCCTGAGCAGGGGGTTGGACAAGATGACCTCCAAGGTCCCTTCCAACATCATCATCATCATCATCATCATCATCATCATCATCATCATCATCATCATCATCATTATTAAGAGAGGGGGTGTCAACCTATTCCCCAAAGCACCTAAAGGCAGTCCAGTCCAGTGGATAATTTAATCATTTTAACTATGGGCAGCTGACTACTACATAGTTGGGTTAATTCCTGACTGACTTTATCTTCAAAACATCCCCTGAGACCTTTTCTTAGGAATGGGATTCTTTTCCCATGGAACTTATCACTTTTGCTGTTATTTCCTCTAGGATTTAAAGGCAACTTTCCCTCTTTGAAGGATTCCCTTATTTTATATCCATCATTTTATATTCTTAAGCTATCAGTAAGCTAAAACATATGAAAGAACCATCGCAGGAATTGGGTATGTCCAGTTTAATGAAAAGAAGAACTAGGGGTGACATGATAGCAGTCTTCCAATATGTAAGGGGCTGCCAAAAAGAAAAGGGGGCATCAGCCTATTCTATCAACCCGAAGGCAGGACAAAAAGGAATGGATGGAAACTAATCAAGGAGAGAAGCAATCAGGAATTAAGGAGAAATTGTATGTGTCTGTGTGCATCAGTCAATCTCAGTGAGGAGCAGAAACTTCATGTTGCAAAGAATTAAAAACTATATTGCTCTGCAAATCCAGCTTCTGCGCTGAATGTTTCATTATATACTGGGTCATAGTTTATACAAGGTCATGGAAATAGCTCATTTGCCCTTATTTTTAATTTCTCTTTCTCTCTCCAGAGTGTTTGTGCATTACAGTGAAGTAAAATCAAACTATACTATGACTTAGACCAGCAGCCTACATGGAAAAAAAATATTTCTCCTATCCCAGCTAAAGCAACAAAGAGCAACAAAGATGATTAGGGGACTGGAGGCTAAAATGTATAAGGAACGGCTGCTGGAATTGGGGATGTCTAGTTTAATGAAGAGAAGAACGAGGTGGGGACATGATAGCAGGGTTCCAGTATCTCAGGGGCTGCCACAAAGAAGAGGGAGTCAAGCTATTCTCCAAAGCGCCTGAAGGCAGGACAAGAAGCAACGGATGGAAACTAATCAAGGAGAGAAGCAACCTAGAACTAAGGAGAAACTTCCTGACAGTTAGAACAATTAACCAGTGGAACAACCTGCCTCCAGAAGTGGTGAATGCGCCAACACTGGAAGTTTTTAAGAAGAGACTGGACAGCCGTTTGTCCGAAATGGTATAGGGTTAGCTGCCTGAGCAGGGGGTTGGACTTGATGACCGCCAAGGTCCCTTCCAACTTTATTATTATTGTTATTATTAAATCCCAGAAATCTATAATTTCTCTACTGATAATTGTCAAAGCCAGAAACAGACATTCTCCCAGGACCAGGAGTAGAGAAAGGGACACAAAGAAGGAAGGAGCAAAAAACTAGAAGAAACAGGAAAAGGGTCTATTGGGGAACACCTCGTTCTTGAAAATCTGGGGTGAGCTTGGAAATGCTGCTAAAAATCAAAGAAGGAAAAGGAGGGGGGAAAAAAGAATCATTTGCATGAGAATTACACCGCAAGGACAAGGAAGGGAAAGAAACTTTTGTATGATTATCTCTGTGTTGAATCTCCATTCCTACTTGTGGCTGATTCAGTATCTTGGCCAACGGTTAATTTATTGGCTAAATTCACCCCTGCTGTTTTTTCCCTGCCAATTGATTTTCATGAGAAGGGGCAGCTTCTTCTACAAAAGACGTGAGGTGCTGTCTGATCTGTTCCAAAGGGGGAATCTTAGGGTTGAGAATCTCTCAAACAGAGATGGCAAATAAATAGCTTGGATTGTAGGTATGGTTTCACCCATGAATACATAATAATAATAATAATAATAATAATAATAATAATAATAATAATAATAATAATAATAATAATAATAATAATAATGATGATGATGATGATGATGATGATGATGATGATGATGATAATAATAATAATAATAATAATAATAATAATAATAATAATAATAATAATAGTAGTAGTAGTAGTAAAGTTGGAAGGAACCTCGAAGGTCACCTAGTCCAACCCACTGCTCAGGAAGGAAACCCTATACCATTTCGGACAAATGGCTGTCCAGTCTCTTCTTAAAAACTTCCAGTGTTGGAGCATTCACCGCTTCTGGAGGCAGGTGGTTCCACTGGTTAATTGTTCTCACTGTTAGGAAGTTTCTCCTTAGTTCTAGGTTGCTTCTCTCCTTGATTAGTTTCCACCCGTAGCTTCTTGTCCTGCCTTCAGGCGCTTTGGAAAATAGCTTGACTCCCTCTTCTTTATGGCAGCCCCTGAGATATTGGAACACTGCTATCATGTCCCCCCTTGTCCTTCTCTTCGTTAAACTAGACATACCCAATTCCAGCAGCCGTTCCTTATATGCTTTACCATCCAGTCCCCTAATCATCTTTGTTGCTCTTCTCTATACTCTTTCTAGAGTCTCGACATCTTTTTTACATCGTGGTGACCAAAACTGGATGCAGTATTCCAGGTGTGGCCTTACCAAGGCATTGTAAAGTGGTATTAATACTTCACGTGATCTTGATTCTATCCCTCTGTTAATGCAGCCCAGCACTGAGTTGGCTTTTTTGGCAGCTGCAGCACACGGCTGGCTCATTCCTTTAGTGGGCTCAGCAACTGCCTTCTCTTGACCCTGTTCCATAAGTCAAGTCTTATTTTCCTAAGCCAGATCCTTTTAGCTCTGTTCCCCCCCCCCCTTCAAAGCCAGAAACAGATATCCCAAAGGACTAGGAACACAGAAAGCGAGACCAAATAATAAATGACAGATTTGGAAGGGACCTTGGAGGTCTTCTAGTCCAACCCCCTGCCCGCTCAAGCGGGAAACCTTGATACCATTCCAGACAAATGGCTGTCCAATCTCTTCTTAAAAAACCTCCAGTGATGGAACGCTCACAACTTCTGAAGGCAAGCCGTTCCTAATTGTTCTGTCAGGAAATGTCTCCTTATTTCTAGGTTACGAAAAGGGTACACGAAGTTACACCAAGAACTTGCACACAAAGGACAATGGGGCGAGAAGTAGAAGACACAGGAAAGGGGTCTTGAAAATCGGGAGGGGGGGACAAGCTTGGTAATGCCTCTCTTCTAGAATCCAAAAGAGAACAAGGTCACTTGTTCTCTTTTGGACTAGATGACCTTCAAGGTCCCTTCCAACTTTACTACTATTATTATTATTACTTTTCTTACCTTGCATGATAGCCACACAACAAGCCAGAAGAACAAGGACGGCGAGGAAAGCTTGTTTGAGCATCTCTGCGCTTTGAGTCCTCTTTCCTGCTTGCGATCCAGACAGAGAAGAACTGATCTTGACTCGGTGAACTCCTAATTTATTGCCTAAATTCACCCACTGTTATTCTTCAGGGATTCCCCATCCTACTCGCTTTCACTTCCCATTCATTTACCTTAGCAAATAAATAATTGCGTAGGTCCTAACCAAAGCACGCCCACGGTCTGTGTATTGCAATTCTTCTTTAAAAAAAAAAAAAAAAAGCAAACAAACTGCTTTCCTTTTAATCCTACGCTTACCCTCCACTTCTTCCCTTTTCCCTTTTCCCGATTTTATTGCCAAGAAAACTGTGCAGGAGTTTCTAGGAAACCTCTGCACAATCGGCTTGACAGACCATCTGTCTTTCCTGCAAATTCAAATTGCTGCTGACCCAATATTGCGAATTTTGCTATTCTAAGCTAGGACATGGCTTGGAGTAGACTATGTGAACCCGGTGCTTTATGTTTTATTCAAAACATTGTAGTTAAACAAACCATGGTTGGGTACAAAGTAGGAATCAAGTCTCATCACTCAGTTTAATTTGTTTCTTTATTCTAGCAGTTCACTGTTTTTCAAGTAATAATAATCATCATCATCATCATCATCATCATCATCATCATCATCATCATCATCATCGTGGGAACATAGGGTGGAAAAAGTTGTTGAGAATGAGAGGATGAAGATCTTGTGGGGCTTTCAAATACAGACAGATCGCCATTTGGAACACAACACGCCGGATATCGCAATTGTAGAGAACCGAAGCATACAGCTGATTGATATCGCTGTACCAGGAGATGCCAGAGTCGAAGAAAAAAAACTGGGAAAAATTATGAAATATCGCAACCTGGCCATTGAAACTGCGCGATTAGGGATGAAACGTGTAACAGTGGTACCCATTGTCATCGGGGCACTGGGAACTATGTCCAAAAACTTTGCAAAATACATCAAGAAACTGCAGCTTCCTGCAATAACTCCAGCAATCTTACAAAAAGCTGCGCTACTCGGAACATCTTATATTTTAAGGAGGTACCTGGTTGACACCTAGGATGCTGGTAGCAACCCGTGTCAACCATCAGCGCCAGCCAATTTGAATGTTCAGTTGACCGAGGTTCATGTTTAATGAATAAAATATAATAATAATAATAATAATTTGGAAGGGACCTTGGAGGTCATCTAGTCCAACCCCCTGCTCAGGCAGGAAACCCTATACCAGTTATGCCGAACCATTTAGAGACCGAGTGCCCAAACTGCAACCCAAAACCCACTTATCTATCGCAAAGTGCCAGGGGCTCATCAGCATTGTGGTTTCCTCAGGGGGGGCAGGGAGGCACCTCTGAGTGCCGCCTCTGGCAGGCAAAAACCAGGAGCGCAAAAATAGGCCACCGTGCTGCAAGGTGCAAAAACGGCTGCCGCTCGCCACGGGGTGAAGATACAAGGCGCTGCACCACACAAGAATGTGGCAGGGCTAGTGAGTATTACGCAGGTACTAGCCCCGCCTCATTTGCAGCGCGTGCATGCTCTCGCGGCCCGTGTGTGCACACGCGCATGTAAAATGCTTCCCCCTCCTTTTTCTTCCAGTCCACCAATCGACAATGGATGGTGACCTCTGCTCTACCACCTCTACTTGAGCTTGCTAGTCGGCCGCTTCGCCTCCTTTGTGCTGGGCGGGGCTCCTGCTCCGGGCAGGGTTGGCGGCCTGATGGACCTGCTGCTGGTGGCAGCGGCACACACGCCAACAGAGAGGGCTCATAGTGCCGCCTCTGGCACGCGTGCCATAGGTTTGCCACCACTGCCCTATACCATTTCGGACATTAGCTTGGGGTCGTTACGTTGTCACAAAGGGTTGGAATCCAGCCTCTCCTGAATTCCGTTGACACTTATCTGGCCCCAATTTAATCTTGAACTTCAGTTGACCAGATTCTTGTGTATGGGCCTAAATAAATGTTCGGTGCTGCAATTTAATGGATGGTCCTGATTCTTTGCGCCTGACACTAGCTCCCCAAACAACAGAAAGTAGCAGCACTGAAAGACTGTAGGGAATCTGCTTGACTCCAGTTTGCATCAGTGGCCTTTCCCCCAGACTCCCAGTGAGTATCTGTCCCATCAAATAGGAAAGAGCAATGTAGACGGATATGGAATATATGGGAAAATACAGCTAGTCTATAAAATAATAATAATAATAAAGTTGGAAGGGACACTGGAGGTCATCTAGTCCAACACCCTGCTCAGGCAGGAAACCCTATACCATTTCAGACAAATGGCTGTCCAGTCTCTTCTTAAAAACTTCCAGTGTTGGAGCATTCACCACTTCTGGAGGCAGGTTGTTCCACTGATTAACTCAATGGAGAAAACCAGATTCACTTAACAGCCGTGTTACTAATTTAACAACTGCAGCGATTCACTTAACAACGGTGGCAAGAAAGGTCGTAAAATGGAGCAAAATTCACTTAACAAATGTTTCACTTTGCAACAAAACTTGTGGGCTTGATTGTGGTGGTAAGTTGAGGACTACCTGTATGCAGTCGTTCTTCCTCACTTCCTGGAAGCATTGTACAACTTCAGCATTTTGTCGACTTGAGGAAGGACAGATGGTGGGGGCTACAATTTTTAGTAATCGGCAGTCCATTTGTAAGTACTTCTGACTTATATACAAGCTTGAGTTAAAGGCAGAGATAGGAACTTGTTCTTAATCCACGGGACTTCCTATAAATAAAATTACTACCTTGAAATCCGGGCGTGTCTATATGTGTAAATCTTGGGGAAAACCGTCCTTTGCCAAATCTCTCTCTCTCTCTCTCTCCTATGTTAAATGTTTACTTTTCTAGCAGCCCAGAAACTGATACCAGATCGGACTGCCTTTCGTCTATTGAGCAAGAAAGGCGAATCACCTCTACACATGGTCCTTGACTTACGACCACAGTGGAGCCCCAAAGGTTCTGTTGCTAAGTGAGACATTTCTTAAATGAGTTTTGCCCCATGGTTGTTAAGTGAAATCTGGCGTCCCCATTGACTTTGCTGGTCAGATGGCGGCAAAAAAGATCACGTGACCCCAGGACACTTCAACTGTCATAAATATGAGTCAGTTGCCCAGCATCTACATTTTGATCACATGACCATTGGTCAGGGGTAGGCAACCTCGGCTCTTTTGATGACTCGTGGACTTCAACTCCCAGAATTCCTGAGCCAGCATGGCTCAGCTTGGAAACCTCTCACTTTCCCCTCAGTGTGGCTGGCTCAGGAATTCTGGGAGTTGAAGTCCACGAGTCATATAAGAGCCAAGGTTACCTACCTCTGACCATGGGGATGACACAAGGGTCTAAGTGTGAAAAACAGTCATAAGTCACTTTTTTCAGTGCCCGTTGTAACTTCAAATGTTCACTAATGTTCACTGTTGTTAAGTCAAGGACTACTGTGCTCAATTTTATCTCTAGATATGACCCCTTAATTCAGGCATGTCAAACTCGCGACGTCACGTGACGTCGCGCAACGTATTGGAGCTTTTTCGCCATTGCCGACAATGGGGTGGGCGCGGCTCCGGTATGATGAAACCGGCCCGCGGGCCGGCAGTTTGACACCCCTGCCTTAATTGAAGATCCTAATCTGGTTGTGAGTAGTGTTTTCTCTCCTTGACGGCTACAGCATCTGAGGCTGATGTGCATGATGTTACATCCTTTATTCAAAACCCAGGTGGGGCTGAGAAAATATAATTTAGATTCTGCCGGGCAAGGGTTCTGCAGTAAATAGAATTTATTGGGGTTCCTGGTCTGTTTTTCTGCCTGTTTGGAGAAAATGTAGATCAGTGGTTCTCAACCTGTGGGTCGGGACCCCATTTGGGGTCGATCGACCATTTCACAGGGGTCGCCAAGCAAGGCTGTCCGCCATTTTTTTTGTCCGCCATTTTTTTTCCATTTTCCGGCGGGTGCCTTACCTCCCTTGGGCTGGGCCAGCTGGTGGTCAGCCTGCTCCGTCTCTGCCGCTTGCCAGCTACGCCTCGGCCGGCGCAGGGGGCGGAACCACGCATGTGCGGCGCTCCCGGGAAGGGAAAGTCCTCGACTTACGACCGGTTTAGTCCTCGACTTACGACCGGTTTAGTCCTCGATTTACGACCGGTTGGGGTCGCGGCATTAAAAAGGTTGAGAACCACTGATGTAGATATTCTGCATTGGATTTATTCCTGCAGTCCAGCTGCAGACAAACAGAAACGAAGGCAGGAAATACAGATTTTAATCAATTTGGTGCTAAGCGCTGAATCCAAGGAGCAGCTGTGCAGTCACGCAGTTGTATAAATAGGGAAAGTTTGAATGAGAAAGTCCCTTTTAGAAGTCTATAGATATAGGCAAGGACTACCAATATTATTTTATAGCTTGGAGGGAAACAGTGAAAGCCAATCCCTTTAGGGAAAGTGACTATTTTTTGCCCGCTTAAAAAGAAAGTGACTATTTTTTGCCCACTTAAACTGTCACAGTTCTTTGTAGTAGGCCAACTCAGGAAATTGATACCACAAGAAATGCTGCCTATTTCTTGGTTGGTTTGGGGCTTGGAGGTAGACAACATCTAAATTGAAATAAATAAAATATTAGAATCCTACTGTTTGTTATAAGCTCTAATGCAGATAATGGAACCAGAATTTCTACGTATTGTTAAGCCAGGCCGTTGTAAAGTGAGTCGTAATTTTACAACCTTCCCCCCTCCCCTCACAGTTGTTAAACAAATCAGGCAGTTGTTAAGTCCACCATCTAAATCAGGGGTCTTCAAACTTGGCCCTTTTATGACTTGTGGACTTCAGCTCCCAGAATTCCTCACGCTGGCTGAGGAATTCTGGGAGTCGAAGTCCACAAGTGATAAAAGGGCCAAGTTTGAAGACCCCCTACATTAGAAGAAATATCCTGCCTGCGGAAATGGAACAAGAGAGGCAGTATAGTGTACTGGTTAAGGCATCAGGGTAGAAACTGGAAGGTTGTGAACTCTGCTCTTGTTTTAGGCATGAAGCCAGCTAGGGTGACCTTGGGCCAGTCACTTCCGCTCAGCCCTAGGAAGGAGACAATGGCGGACCACTTTTTAAAAGAAATGCCAAGAAACCTGCAGAAACCTGTCCAGGCAGTTTCCAAGAATC